AACCTTGATATGTCTATCAATTCTAAATGATAGCTTTGCAAGGATAGAGTTATATTGGTTGTAGGTCATTGCTTTTCATCACCTTGAATATCTCTTGCCACTCCTTTCTGGCCTGTAAAGTTTCTTTTGAGAAATTGCCTGACCGTCGTATGGAAGCTCCTTTAAGGTAACAAACTGCTTTTCTCTTGCAGCTTTTCAGAGTCTCTCTTTGTATTTAATCTTTGGCATTTTGATGATGATGTGTCTTGGTGTGGACCTTGTTAGGTTCATCTTGTTTGAAACTCTCTGTGCTTCCTAGACTTGTATGTCTGTTTTCTTCACCAAATTAGGGAAGCTTTCTGTCATTTTTTCAAATAGGTTCAATTTCTTGCTTTCTCTCTTCTCCTTCTGACACCCCTATGGTGCAAATGTTGGTGTGCTTGAAGTTGTCCTGGAGGCTCCTAATACTATCCTCATTTTTTTGGATTCTTTTTTCTTTTTGCTGTTCTGATTGGGTGTGTTTTGCTTCCTTATATTCCAAATTGAGACCAGATGCTTGTTTGAGAGATTTTAGGAATATCTGAAGCAGAAGCCAAGAGAGGCCAATTCTATGGTAAAGCCATTGGAAACAGCTTGGGTTGGCCTGAAAGTTAGGTGGGGTAGGGTCTCAGGGAATCACCAGGGTGAGGTAAATGGTGTGAGCCAGGTTGCTGGAGTTCCAGATATGGCAGCTGTCTGCCCCACCAGGGATGGGCTCACCAAAGGGACATCAGCCTCTGTCAGCACATCTGTCCAGGAGAAAGCCACCTCTCCAGCCCTCATCCCAAGGCCACACAGCTCAGGCCTTCCCTATATATCTCTGATGCCCCTCAAGTTGCTCCCCTTGGAGCTTAGAGGGAGCAAGTCAGAAAAAGTCCATGAATGGGCCCTTTAGGAGGAGCTGCCTGGGTCTTCAGCAGCCTCAGCCTCCCTCAGCCTTGGCTCCTGCTGGTTTTTACAGCCAGAAGTCATGGTGACTTTTCTTCCTGGCACTGGAATCCTGAGCTGGGTGCCTGGTGTGGGACAAGGACCCCTCACTTCTCAGGGAGGACCTTCCTAGCCGAGATTTTTCTCCTGATTTTTATCTGCCACACCTGGGTGTGGGAGCAGCTACTCTGCCCCTCTGCACCTACTACCCTTCTTGTTTTGGCTGTTTCTTTAATTTGTAATTGTAGAACTTCCATTCAGCTAGATTTCAGGCAGTACTGAATGATGGTTGTGTTGTAGTTTAGGTGTAATTTTGATGTGGTTGTGGGAGGAGGCAATACCGTGTTTACACGTACGCCACCATCTTGACCGGAAGTCTCCAATAAAAACATTAAAAAAAAAAAACCTAATAACTTCAAAACTGACACACACAAAATTGTCCACAAAATATTCTTTTCTTCTGAAGGTTTTACAATGCAATATAATCATTAACATGTCCTTTACTATTTAACTTCAATGTGCAATTGAGACATACATTTCTGAGACCATTCTTCCATCACTGATTATAACCGGGGTGGCTGTTTTGGGAATGTTTATTTAGCCTTCTGAAATCTTAAGGCAGTTTTGGTGGCTTGACCATGCAGTTGCCTTCTTGTTCACTGCTTTAATGACCACAGCCACTGCCTGTTTCATGTCACAGCAACTGCCTGTTTCATGTCACAAACAGCAAAACAATGTAGAGGATTGTCGTTACCATTTCAACCAGAAAATTATACAAATGCTACAGTGTTAGAGTTGTAGCCAATTTTTAAAAAGTAGATGTCAACTTCTTAATGCCTTCCTCATATTTCTTCTGGCTGTAGTGTGCCTCAGTGAAATCCATTTTGTTAATACCAACAATTGTTTCATACCCAATTTTTAAACCAGAACTGCATGCTCCCGAATCTACCTGTTCTTTGGGATACCTTCTTCAAATTCACCACCAACACCAGCAGCTACAATCAGGACAGAACTGTCAGCCTGAGATGTGCATGTATTATGTTTTTGATAAATTCTCTGTGTCCTGGGACATCAATGATGGTCACACAGTACTTGCGAGTCTCAAATTTTCACAGAGAGGTATCAGTGGTGATACTCTACTCATGTTCAGCTTTCAGTTTATTCAGGCATAGTCGAAGGAGTTGTTCCCTATTTCAGCAGTCTCTTTCTCAACTATTTTGATGGTTATTTTGTGGATCCCATCACAACTGTACATCATATGGCTAGTAGTTGTAGACTCCTGAATCTGTATGTCCAATGATGTTGATGTTTATGACTCTTTTCCTTTATTATTTTGGTGTAGATTTAGCAGTGGTTTTCATGACACTGTTCTGGCAGCAAAGCCTTGGTGAAAAGAAAGGAGATTCTTTCTTAGCTGGTGTGGCTCGGTTGGGTGTTGTCCCATGCATGCAAAGTTGCTGGTTCAGTTCCAGGCAGGGCGCACGTCTGGTTGCGGGCTTGCTCCCCAGTAGGTGGCATGCTAGAGGCAGCAGATGGATGTTTCTCTCTCCCTCCCTCCCTCTCTCTCCCTTCCACTCTCTCTAAAAATCACTAAAATATTTTTTTAAAAAGTAAGAACAAAGATTCTATTTTTATCTCTAACTTTTGGCATTTTAATTGTGTTATGTCTTGGTATAGTTCTTTTGGCTTCCCTTTGTCTAGAAGTCTCTGTGTTACTTGACTTTGTATGTCTGTATCCTTCAACAGGATAGGGATGTTTTCAGCCATTACTTCTTCATATAGGCTCTTTTGTTTTCTGGGACCCTTATGATGTGAATGTTAGTATGCTAGATGTTGTCATGCAGGTCCCTTAAACTATCTTTGTTGTGATTTTTTTTTTTTTTTTTTGCATTTTTGCTGTTAAGCTTCTGTAATTTTCACTGTCTTGTCTTCCAGATAGGTGATTTTTTTCTGCATCATCAAATCTGCTGTTGATTTCTTATAGTATATATTTTATTTTATTTATTGTATTCTTCAGTTCCGATGAGTTCTTTCTTCTGTTTTCTATTTCTTTGTTGGCATTGCCACTGAATTTATCACTTCTTTTATGATTTTATTGAGCATTTGTTCTAAAATTTTTTTAGTTTTCATTTTATTTATTTACGTACTCACCCAAGAATATGTTATTGATTTTAGAGAAAGAAATAGAGGAAAGGAGAGTGGGAGGGGGAGGGGGGAGGGGCAGGGGGAGAGAGAGAGGGAGGTCATTTATATGTCCTGACAGGAATTGAACTGGCAACCTGGATATGTGTCCTGACCGGGAATTGAACCTGAGACCTTTCTGTGAATGGGACAATGGTCAACTAACTGAGCCACACCAGCTATCTGGTAAATGTCTTTTCTGTTTCATTTAATTCATTTTCTGCAGTTTTTACATTTTATTTGGAACATATTCCATTGTCTCATTTAGCTTATTTCTCTGTTTGTTTGAATGTATTATGTAGATCAACTACGTGTCCCATTATCAGAGTGGTCTTACGTAGAGCTTTCTGGCACAAAAGCCACTGGTCACTACCGTCAAGTGCACCACGGTGTCTCCTGTGTGGGTGCAGGTGCTCTCCTGTCTTAGTTTGCAGGATTTCTGTTAAGTGCTCTCATGGGTGGGGTTTTTCTCATAATGATTGGCTGCTTAAACTTATCATGGATTCTGTGGATGATTTGGTGTGTGGGGCTTGGCCCTATGGAGTAGGAGCCACATTGATGGGTGTTGGTGCTGGCCAAGTCCTTCCACTCAGTATCTCATTTGTGGGGTAATTTGGGTGATACACCCAAATTTGGCTGTTTGCCAAAATGCCCTGGCTCTGAAACCTCTAGAGTGATTCTGCTGAGGGCCAAACCCTGATGGTTGTGCAGGGACTAGAGCTGCTTGGTTGGGGGTGGGGGCAGGGCAACGATTTTAGCTGAGGATGGCTGCTGCTTGTGTCAGATGTGGGGCTCCTTGGCAGGGACTATGATTAGAGCCCAGCCTGGCTATTGTGCTTGCCATTGTTGGAATTGCATGGTCAAAGGTACAGTGCAAGCTCATGATAACTGCCATGTGAGACGAGGTTAGATTTACCTTTGGGAGTTGTACCATTAGAATGGTGTGCTTTTATTTTATTTTATTTTATTTTATTTTATTTTTTATCCTCACCCGGGGACACTTTTGCATTTATCTTCAGATAGAGTGGGAGGAAGAGAGAGAGAAAAACATCGATGTGAGAGTGATACATCGACTTGTTGCCAGCCACACCACCCCGGCTTGGGCAGGGACAAACTACAACCAAGGTACATGCTCTGAGCGGGAACTGAACCTGAGACTCTTTGGTCCGTGGGCCAACACTCTAACCGCTGAGCCAAACCAGCCAGGGCTAGAATGGTGTGCTTCTTAGTGATTCCGGACTGGAGGGATTTCTGGAGCAGTTGCAGTGTGGGAATGCTCTAGACTGAGTACAGCCCCGAGTGTCTTTCCACCTCCTTCTGCAGTGGCAGCAGCAGCAGCAGTACTTAGCAGTGTCAACTAGAGGCTGCAACCGGACAAGCCTCCTCAGGACAGTGCTCAGCTGAGAGGGAGGCTAAGCACCCCCAAAGGGATTGCTCCTCCAAGAACAGAGACAGTAAGAGGATGTGTGCCATTGAATGGGTCCACCTGGGGAGAGTAGTGAGGATGGAAACCAGGACCACTTCCTGGTATTCCCTGCAGAGAAAACAGGACAATGAGAACTAGCAAGAACTTGAGTGACAATCACCTGGATTCAGATGGGAAGACTGTTCATATGTCTATTGCTTCATTCCTGGAAATTGCTACACCTGATTAAGGAGAATCTTACTTGGCAAACCCATTTGGCTTTTTGAAAATCCTTCCTCAAAAATGGCTGTGGAGTGAATGGAAGCTACACAGACCGTCTCCCAGGACCAAACTAAATTACAACTAAAATAAAGGCAAATCTTTGGGAAAAACCAACTGAAAAGCAGCTGGAGAGAAGCTGTATAACCAGGGATAGAAAGAGGACACCAAATCGAGCCTGGTAGGTACCATGAAGGTATGAGAGGATTGCCTGTAGCCCATGGACAGCAGCTGAGGGCTGTTTTAGCTGTGTGCGGTTCCCACTGAGAAAGCAGGTGTTTTAAAAAGCACAAATTCAGGTACAGCCACTCACCTTGGGATTCGACAGAGGGAGAGTGGACTGGACTGGAACTGTGTAGAGAGAGCTGGATGGGAGGACAATGGGATTTTTGTACTGAATCACTCCCCCATAAGACAGTAGCCATATTATTCAGAGTCCCTTCCCAGAGCCCCCGGGAGAAGCAACAGCCCCTCCCTCAGGAATTAAACACCACCAGGTCAGGCCAGAGAAATGCAAATTGAGTCTCATTGCCATATAGAGTCCAACAGCAAGCAAGTGCCCCACCTGCAGGAAATCCTCTTACACCTGATGGATTTTCTTATTCAGCTGAGGGCTACAAATCGAGGCTCATCAAGTAACTGAGACTAATAACCCGCAGGCAAAAGCTGGAGGGTACTGGAACCTTTCCTTGGCCTGTAAATCTACTCAGGATAGTAAGACTTGACTGTGGTGTTTATTGTGGGTTCTCCCACACTCATCCAAACACAGTAGAGGGAGCCAGAACCAGCAGAACACTGACACCCACAGGAAAAATTTGGCAGGCTTTAAAACCCACCGAGACAGCCAAAATAGTGAAACAAAGAAGCAAATCCCAAACGAAAGAACAAGAAAACTCTACTGAAGATGACATAAATGAAATGCAGTTAAGCAAGTTGTCAGAGGGAGAGTTCAGATAATAAATATGAGGAAGCTCTACAGCATGAATAAAGAGCTCAACAGCATGAGTAAAGATACAGAAACATTGAAAATCAACCACTTGGAAATGAAGAATGATATAGCAGAAATAAAGAGTACATTGGAAGCTATAACCAGCTGAGTAGAGGAAGCCAAGATTGGATCAGTAAATTAGTAGATCCTCTCACAACCACTACAAAATTATAACTAAACTACTGCACAACCATTAGTCCAAATCACCTGAAATCAAGCTGAATGGAAGTCCTACAACCATGAAACTAAAGAAGCAGCTACATCAAGACTGGTAGAAGGGGTGGAGGCATGGACATGCTGGTCCCTCACCCACATATGGTGCATAAAAATCAGGAGGATACCTCGGCTGTGAAGGTCCTCCCTGAGGAGTGAGGCGTCTCCTTCCCATACCAGGCACCAAGCTCAGGGTTCCAGTGCTAGGAAGAGAAGTTACCATGATTTCTGGCTGTAAAAAACAATGGGAACTGAGGCTGAGGCTGCTGAAGCCCCAGGCAGCTCCTATATATTTTTTAAAAATTTACTTATTGTTTTTGTTAAAGATGTTTCTCATTTTCCCTCATTGACACTCTCCTCCCCTTCCCCCCTGCCCCATCCTCAGCTCTGTTGTCTATGTTCATTGGTCATGCATAAATGCCTGTAAGTTCTGTGGTTTTCCCCTACAACGCCCCCTCCTCTGACGCATGTCTGTCTGTATCCCACCTCTGTGTCTCTGGGTTAATTTTGTTCATCAGTTTGTTTAGTTCATTATATTTCACAAATAAATGAGATCATGTGATATTTGTCTTTCTCTGCTTGGCTTGTTTCACGTAGCATAATACTCTCCAGGTCCTTCCATGCCATCTCAAAAGATAAGAGATCTTTCCTTCTTACAGCTGCATAGTACTCCATTGGGTATATGTACCACAACAATTTTATCCATTCATCTACTGATGGTCATTTGGGCTGTTTCCAGATCTTAGCGATTGTAAATAGTATTGCTATGAATATGGGGGTACATATATTCTTCCTGATTGGTGTTTCAGGATTCTTAGGGTATATTCCCAGAAGTGGGATCACTGGGTCAAATGGCAATTCAATTTTGAATTTTTTGAAGTAACACCATAGTGTTTTCCATAGTGGCTGCACCAGTCTGCATTTGCCACCAGCAATGTACTAGAGTCCCCTTTTCTCCACACCTTCGCCAACACTTGTTGTTTGATGATTTGTTGATGCCGGCCATTCTGACAGGTGTGAGGTGATACCTCATAGTTGTTTTAATTTGCATCTCTCTGATGCTTAGTGATGTTGAGCATTTCTTCATATGTCTCTTGGCCATTTGTATGTCCTGTTTGGAGAGGTGTTGTCTGTTCAGCTCCTCTGTCCATTTTTTAATTAGTTTCTTTGTTTTCCTTTTGTTGAGTTGTATGAGTACTCTATATATTTTGGAAATTAACTCCTTATCTGATGTATCATTGGCAATTATGCTCTCCCATACAGTGGTTTGCCTTTCCATGTTGATGGTTGTTTCTTTTGCTGTGCAGAAGCTTTTGAGTTTGATGTAGTCCCATGTGTTCATTTTCTCCTTTGTTTCTGTTGCCTTAGGTGATGTATCAGTGAAAATTCTGCTGCATATGATGTTCGAAATTTTGTTGCCTACATTTTCTTCTAGGATTTTTATGGATTCACGGGTCACATTTAAGTCTTTTATTCATTTTGAATTCATTTTTGTGTATAGTGTAAGTTGATGGTCTAGTTGCATTTTTTTTTTTTTTGCATTGATGTTCTAGTTTCAGTTTTTATGCATGTAGCTGTCCAATTTTCCCAACACCATTTATTAAAGAAGCCGTCTTTATTCCATTGTATGCTCTTGCCACCTTTGTCAAATATTAATTGAGTATAATGTCTTGGGTCCATTTCTGGGTTCTCTGTTCTGTTCCACTGGTCTATATGCCTGTTCTTGTGCCAGTACCAGGCTGTTTTGATTACAGTAGCTCTGTAGTATAACATGATATCTGGTATTTTGATCCCACCTACTTTGTTCTTTTTTTTTCAAGATCGATGTGGCTATTCGTGGTCTTTTTTGGTTCCATATGAACTTTTGAAGGATTTGTTCTAGTTCTGTGAAATACATCGTTGGTATTTTGATGGGGATTGCATTGAATCTATAGATTGCTTTGGGGAATATGGACATTTTAATGATGTTAATTCTCCCAATCCATGAGCAAGGTATGTGCTTCCACTTGTTTATATCTTCCTCTATTTCTTTTTTCAATGACCTGTAGTTTTCTGCAGAAGGTGAAGGGATTAAGAAGTACAAATTGGTTATTAGTCTGATAAACCTCAAAGGGAATGGGGTGGAGAGGTGGGAAGAAATAAGCCAAAGAAATTATATGTATAACGAATGGACACAGACAACAGTGTGGGGAAAGTCAGGAGAGGGGCGGGAGTGGGAAGGAGGGGTCAGTAGTTGAAAACACACACACACACACACACACACACACACACACACACAACAGGAAGACAGTCTAAGAGAACTGTGGGACAAGCAGAAACATAACAACATCCGCATCATAGGAGTGCTAGAAGAAGAAGAAAATGAGAAAGAGTTGGAGAATATATTTGAAGGCAGAAAAATTCCCTAACTTGGTGAAGGAAAAAGGTATATAACTTCAAGAATCACAGAGAGCTCCAAGTAAGAAGAACCCAAAGAGGCCCACATGAAGACACATAATAATTAAAATGCCAAAAATTAAAGACAAAGAGAGAATCCTAAAAGCAGCAAGAGATAAGCAACAGGTTACGTACAAAGGAATCCCCCATAAGGCTGTCAGCCGACTTCCTAACAGAAACACTACAGGCCAGAAGGAAATGGCATGAAGTAATGAAGGTAATGAAAAATAAGTATCTGAATCCAAGACTATTCTATCTAGCATGGCTATCATTCAAAATAGAAGGTGAAATAAAAAGCTTCCCAGACGAAAAAAAAAAAAAAAAAAATGGCTAAGGGAATATATACCACCAAACCAGCACTGCAAGAAATGTTAAAAGAACTGCTGTAATAAGCAGAAGAAATAGGAAGAGAAACATAACTAGAATAAACAAAAATGGCAATAAATAAGTACATATGAACAATAACCTTAAATGTAAATGGATTAAATGCTCTGATCAACAGACACAAAGTAGCTGGATGGATAAGAAAGCATGACCCATATATGTGTTGTTTACAAGAGAGCCATCTCACAACAAAAGACTCACATAGGTTGAAAGTGAAGAGATGGAAAAAAAAATTTTCCAAGGAAAAGGAAAGGAAAAAGGAGCTGGGGTAGCAATACTTATATCTGATAAAGTAGAGTTTAAAATGAAGGCCATAACTAGAGACTAAGAAGGCTACTACATAATATTGAAAGGATGTATCCAACAGGAAGATATAAGCTTGCTAAACATCTTGGCACCCAGTAAAGGAGCACCAAAATACATTAAAAAACTTCTGGAATCAAAGCAGGGGACCAACACCCCACTGGCATCACTGGATAGAGCCCCTAGGCAAAAAGTTAACAAGGAAACAAAGATTCTAAATGATGCACTATATCAAAAGGATTTAATAGATATCTATAGTTTGGTGGTAATATATTTCCTTAGCCTTTATTAAATAGATATCTACAGAGAATTACATCCCCAAAATGCAGAATTCACATTGGACTCAAGTGCACATGGAACATTCTGAAAAATAGACCACATGTTAGGACACAAACTAAGTCTCTACAAGTTCAAAAAGACTGAAATCATATCAAGCATCTTCTCAGATCACAATGGCATAAAGCTAGAAGTCAATTACAACAAAAACCTGCACAAATATTCAAACACAGGGAGGCCTAATAGCATGTTATTAAACAACGAATAGATTACCAAGGAGATCAAGAAAGAAATTTAAAACGTTCTGGAAACCAATGAAAATGAACACACAGCAACACAAAATCTATGGGACACAGGGAAAGCAGTCCTGAGAGAAGTTCACAGCATTACAGGCCTATCTCAAGAAACAAGAAAAATTTCTAATTGGATTTCTAACCGTACAACTTAAAGATCTAGATAGTACACAAAAAGAAAAACCCAGAACAAGTAGAGGAAATAAATGACATAGAAATGGAAAAACAAACTCAAAAGATCAATGAAACAAAAAGCTGTTTCTTTGAAAAGATAAACAAGGTTGTTGGACCTTTAGCCAGATT